ACATCTCTACATACAATCATACAAGATAATATCATTGGCGGTATTATTTACTGTTTTTAGATGGTGACGATTATTTGTCTAAGCTAACATGACAATGAAACGCTAAAGAACTTTTCTTTCATAAAAATGGATGAAGAAGGCCGTATCCGTTGATGAATGATAGTAAAAGTTGAAGGAACATACCTACACAACGAATAGCAAAAGCCTGCCTCGTCCATTGCGATCAGCTACATATCTCACATTAAGGTATACCAATATATGTATTTGTATTAACATAATAGTGACCCTGATTGCAAAATGTTAGCAAATTACGGGCAAATTGATAGCAAACTCGAGCAAATTTTCACTACATAACCATAGCCATATGTGTCCGCATTTGACTATAGATCTGTCGACAAAGCCTATAGACATGTTATGTCAGCAGATGAGTGAATCTGCTGACATAACTTGAAAGCAATTGAGAGTCAAAATCGCGCAGAGTTTGACATAATCTGACGACTGATTGGCAGTAGAAACTGAGCAAGATTTATCATTTTCTTTTAAATTTATTTGTTTTTTGATAAGAAATTTTTCACATATAACTGTATATATAAACGGTTATATATATTATAATAATTATGCATAATTATTGCAGGGTATTCGGTAAAGACCGTAACAACGCTTAAGGATAGATTCCTGAGATCATTTTGAAACGAAAATTCTATCATCAAAATGTTAAGGCTTTAATAGTTTTTAAATTATAAGTACTTAAAGTTATCGAATCATACTGCCTAAAGTTCAGATACGACAACGGAAAATCCATCTAAGCACGTGAACTTTAGGCGGTATGATTCTTTAACTTTAAGTACTTATCCTCTAAATTAGGATCTTAACCTCTAAATTTTAGCACAAATTTTTAATATTTTCAAATAGCGATAACTCAATGAAAAATCATAGTATCAAGAAGAATCACAGTTCCAATTAAAGCTTAAACATTTCCTTTGATGACCATGGAGATAAAATTTCAGTTACACAAAATGTAATACAAAATGACGGACGTTGAAAGCGGATTATCAAAAAATAGTTAAAAAAAATTTTTCTTTAAATTGCTTAGGGAAATCGAGTGCATGTCACAAAAATGTATGAGTCTTTAAGTTCATTGATTTCCGAACAAATCCATATTTTGAACATTTTTCTACGGTTTTTTTTTTTGACAAAATTATATCGACTTAAAGAAGGTATTATAAAACAACTTTTTCTTGTAAACTCAATATAACTCGGAAACAAATTATTATAGGAAACTTTATCAGAAAGAAAATTAAAGTGTAAATTTCAAATTTTAACTCTTTTTAATTTTGTGTAAGTGCGTGTACGTATGCATGCGCGTGTCCTGCTTTCGACGTTACCCAGAATTAATGGCGTAGAAGTAGCAGGAATCTGATCCCGTGTGTGTGTTGTGTCATTAGTAACGTGTATTGTCTCCTCTCGCATTTATCAATTCGTATATTAATCGGGACATACTATCAATTAAATATGTTATTTCGTTTTGTCTGAAATTATGCCATTCCTCGTGCACAGCGTTGCAGAGGTAATACACATTAAAGACACATATAATGCACACATGACATACATGCGCGCGTGCACGCACACACACACACGCACGCACGCACGCACGCACGCACGCACGCACGCACGCACGCACGCACGCACGCACGCACGCACGCACGCACGCACGCACGCACGCACGCACGATCAGATTCCTACCACGTCTATATCGTTGATTCTGGGTTTCGTCAAGATCAGGACACATGCATACATATACACACGCACTTATACAAAATTAAAAACAGTTAAAATTTGAAATTTATATTTTAATTTTCTTTCTGATAAAGTTTTCTAATAATTTATTTTTTAGTTATACTGAGTTTACAAGAAAAAGTTGCCCGTTTTGTAACACTTTCTTTAAAACAATATAACTTTGTAAAAAAAATAGTAGAAAAATGTTCAAAATATGGATTTATTTGAAAATCTATGAGCTTAAAGACACATATATTTTTTGTGCCATGCAGCCGATTTCCCTAAAGCCCGTATCAGACTATATCGACTCTGCAAGTCAACGCAACTGCCAACTCTGACTGTCGACCAATAATGGACCAATCATAATAAGACTAGTTCAATGTAATTGATCCATTATTGGTCGGCAGTCAGAGTTGACAGTCGGATCGGCTTACAGAGTCAGTAGTCTGATACGGGCTTAAGCAGTTAACAGTTAAAACAAAAATTTTTTTAATTATTTTGCGATGTCCGCCTTCAACATCTGCTATTTTGTATTATATTTTGTGTAACTGAAATTTAATCTCCATAATCATCAACGGGAATGCTCAAGCTTTAATTTGAGCTGTGGTTTGATAACTCGATATGATGATTTTTTATTGAGTTATTCTTATTTGAAAATATTAAAAATTTGTGCTAAAATTTAGTGGTCCGTTTCTTTACCGACGCGTGTACTATACCCCCGACATTAGAATTTTAAGTTGTTACTCTTTCTGTTGATACTCTTTATTGTTCGGTCTTTACTGAACATCCTGTATATACTGGTATAAAAACTAAAAACAATAATGCAGTTTTAATATTAAAATATTATTGATTAGCATCAGATTTTTAAATACATATCAGAAAGTTATAAAATAGTTAAAAAAAAAACATTCGAAGCCTAGTCAAAAACTTCTCTAAATTTCTCCGAAAATTTCTTTGAAAAAATATATAAATTTTTCTAAAAATGTTTGTATTTTTGACACGTTGCGGAACTTTTCAAAGAGTTTTTCAATATATAATTTCAGAGTTTTGTCAAAATATTTTAATGATTTTTAAAAATTTTCATAAAATTTTTTACAATATATTTATATATTTTAGAATTTATCAAAGATTTTCAGCGATTTTCAATACAATATTGCGAAAAAATCCAAAACTTATAATTTTATTTCTTTTTTTAATAGAAGTTGTTCCATGCAAAATATACGTGATGATTTTAAATGACTTGAAATAATTTTGAAAAACACACTTACCTAGTGGACCCAGTGAGAAATGACAATGGAATCGACATCGAATTGATGTCGATTCGACGTCGAAATCATCGAATTGACATCGTATCAATTCCATTGCCGTTTCTCACTGAGGAATTTGAATTTGGGACCTTTGAAAAATAAGTTTTCTGCGATACGTGCTACATTGTTTCTTCAATTGATAAGTGTATTATTTATTGTTTATTTAGGTTTCAGAGACATCACTGAATTCCCACGAAATTCAAAGACTTTGAAATTCTTCAAAATAATTTTTAAAGAAATCGCTGAAAGCCTCTGAAAAATGAGAAACTATGAAAATTCTATCTTCAAAAATATTACTAAATTCCAAAATTTCAATTTAACGAAATTTAAGGACTGTTATACACTTGGAAATTATTTTCAGAGAATTTGCTAAAAGTCTTTAAAAAGTGAGAAACCGTAAAAATTCTATCTTCAGAGATATCATTGAATTTTCAAATTTCTGCGAAATTCAGAGACCTTCAGATACTTAAAAATAATTTTCAGTGAAATCGCTGATAATTTCTGAATTTTTTTGAGAAAGTCTCTGAATGTTACCACTGACGAGATACTATTAAAGATCGTCAACCCTTGGACAAATTTCTGATGGTATAAAGGTCCCAATGGGCCCGAAGGTAATTGAAGAACGCTGACATTATCGACAACTGATATAAATTTGCTATTATTAATATAAATATAATATTTGGCTAATGCATTTTTAAATTCATGATTTTTTATTATATTAAACATAAATGCTTCATAAATAAATATGCATACTTGTAAAGCTATAATATTCTATATATTGTTGAAAAATTATTTACATTTTTTTTTTCATCATGATTAGTCTCTATTGATAATCAAACTTTGACATGACATAAAACAATTACATAATTATATAAATATATAAATAAGGACAATCAATCCTAAAACTAATAATTAGAAATTCAGAATTTTAAATTCAGAAAATTAGCGATTCTAAGTAAACATAGTTTTTTGGCTAAAAACTTCCCTCGGATTTATGTTACTGGTTATTTGTTTGTCCCTTAATTTATTGAACGCGAGACGAAGAAATCGTAGAGTCCACCGGACGTAACAACAGATTTTACTCAATTTTTGCCAACAATTTGTTATCAGATTGTGCAGCAAGACTCTGTTCGAGTTCTGGCATCAATTTCTAGTACAGCATGACAGCAGGATTAATTGTCATATTTCTGACAGCAATTTACTAACATTGTCACATATTACAAACTTTGTGTACAATTTGCTACTTTTCTGCAATAAAAAATTGGTAACATTACCTGTTTTGTAACTCAAAATCTGTCTCCGCAGGCTTTACTATCTGTAGAGTATAAGTCATTATAACTTTATTTTATACAGACATTATTCTTACAATAATAACATTAAGTTTTGGTTAATAATAATAAATAAAAAAGAGGTGACACTTCTAATGACCTTGACCTTGACATATGTTGTCAAGGTCATAACTCTGAGTGACTTACAATAGATTTTAGGTGGCGGTTGCTGTTAGTTCAAAAATTATTAACAAAAAAGTTTGAAATATGATATGTCTTTTCTACTATATGAAACAGAAATTTTTTGCTTTAAAATAATATATTCTACGACTTTCCACGCGAAGCGAGGTCTATCCTACCTCCCCCCCTCCTTCCTGCTTTAAGGCGCACAACTTTCCATGCGAAGCGACTTCCACCTTATATGGAACTCTTAAAGTTTATTATGAATATTATTTAAGTGAATTTATGTTTAAACGACATTAGCCTTTAAAGGAATGTATTGATGTATTTTTTGATATTATGACTCGTTTCTAAATTCTACTGACCATATCGCGATTAATAATTAATTTATTTAATAATAAATTATAAAAATAACTATTCGTGAATTACTAATAAATAAATAGTTTGCTTTAATCCTTATTTTTCCACATACAGCGAGGGACGGCCGCCCGCCAAAGTATAACCTAATTCAACTCATATTGTATATTGTAATGTAGTATTGTAGTATTGTTGTAGTATTGTAATACCTTATGAAAAAAACTTAAAATTTAAGTGTTTATACTCAAATTTAAGTGTAGACATCCAATTTTGGAAATTTATGCTCAAATTTGGGTATATATTAGGAGTATAAATAAATTTCCGCCGTTTTTTATCAAAAATTGGGCATTTATTGTGA